TCAGGTTGCTGCTATATAACGCGATGGCTGCAGGCGGCCCCCAGGAGGTGCTGACGAGCCCCGCCTACTTGTGAGGGTCCCCAGAATCAAAACCCTAAACCCTAAACCCTAAACCCTAAACCCTAACGAGAGTGTTTTCTTCATCCTTGGGCAAACGAGGGTTTAGGGTTTAGGGTTTAGGGTTTAGGGTTTAGGGTTTGTGTTGCGGTGTTTCTAGGGCAACTGTGGAGGACTTCTTGTCTCGCCATCCAGACCTAGACCCAGAGGCCCTCGGCTACATGGCTCTGTAAACACCAGCTCAGCTAGCTAGCTAGCTAGCTAGCTAGCTAGTTAGCTAGCTAGCTAGCTACTCGGCTGGCAGCATGGCTAGCTAGCTAGCTAGCTAGCTACTCGGTTGGCAGCATGGCTAGCTGGCCAGCTAGCTAGGTAGCTAGTCGCATAGCTAGCCTGGCTGGTTGCAGCCGGATAGCTGTTCAGCTAGCAGCTAGCCAGCTAGCTAGCTAGTCAGGCGGCTAGCTGGGTAACTAACAAGGTAGCCAGCTAGCTAGCTAGCTAGCTAGCTAGCTAGATAGATAGATAGATAGATAGATAGCTAGCTAGCTAGCTGAGCTGCTTGCTAGCTAGTCAGCTAGCTACTAGAGGGACAGAAAGCCAGGGAGGGTTTAGGGTTCCGTTAGGGTTTACAAACCCGCAAGAAACTCAAACCCCCAATTAGGGTTTAAAGCAATCGTTTAGGGTTTCGCCTAAACCCTAAACCCTTTNCAAGAAACTCAAACCCCCAATTAGGGTTTAAAGCAATCGTTTAGGGTTTCGCCTAAACCCTAAACCCTTTTTAAACCCTAAACCCTAAACCCTAGGGTTTAGGGTTTAGGGTTTGTGGAGAAGTGCTAGGGCTTAGGGGGACTTGCTAGGGTTTACAAGAGCCCAAAGAAGGGTTTGACTAGCACCAACAGGACCCGCTAGGGTTTAGGGTTTAGGGTTTAGGGTTTAGGGTTTAGGGTTTGCCCTGCAGGAGAGCGATTGGGTCTAGGGCCCAAATATAAACACCTCCTTCTGAGTCACCAGAAGCAACAACCCAGTTCCTGCTGCTGCTGCTGCTGCTGCTGCTGCTGCTGCTGCTGCTGCTGCTGCTGATATGCTGAAGGTCCATTATAGCTGCTGGGTGTGCCGTCCACATATCTAAGAGGCCCCAGCTGCTGCCGCAGCCGCCGCTGCTGCTGCTGCTGCTGCTGCTGCTGCTGCTGCTGCTGCTGCAGTTGAATGCACGTATAAGCCCATAGGAAGTGCCGACGAGCAGCAGCAGCAGNCTGCTGCTGCTGCTGCTGCTGCTGCTGCTGCTGCTGCTGCTGCTGCTGCTGCTGCTGGTGCTGGTGGGGGATGAAGGGTTTATAGGTATTGGGGTGTATGTACAGTCGACCGTAATTTTGAGTGTTTTTTTGCTGATGTTCCACAGCCTTACCTTTCCATCTAAGCCAGCAGTGAGCAGCAGCAGCGCAGCAGCAGCAGCAGCAGGAGCAGCAGCAGCAGCAGCAGGAGGAGCGTGGGCTGCATGCAGTCTATGATTGGGGTGTATAGGCAGCAAGGCCTCAACAGCTGCTGCATGCGCTCGCACTGCTACTATTGCCTTTCCTGTCTCCTCTCTAAACCCTAAAACAAAACCATCCTCATAACCAACAAAACAGCAGCAATGGGGTGTATCGACAGCTAAACAAACAGCAGCAACACCCTCACTCTCACTCTCTTCATCTATCTCCATCCCCCCCCTGCTGCTGCTGCTGCTGCTGCTGCTGCTGCTGCTGCTGCTGCTGCGGGTGCGGGGGGGGATAGGGCCTGCTGCTGCTGCTGCTCTCGCGTGAGGGTCTGCTGCTGGGTGCTTAAAAAAGGAGACAATCTGTCCCTCTTTTGCTGTGAAAAAGGAGACAGCTCCATCAGCAGCACCAACGCAGCAGCGGCTGCCGCTGCTGCTGAAGCAGCAGCAAGTTAGTGGGCTAGCAGCAGCAAATACATGCAATGTAATTGCAGGCTTTATAC